TTTATTCATTTGTTATTCGTTATTCGAATAAATTTTGCCCAACTCTGGTTACGAAATACATATGTATTTCATGCTTCTATTTAAGCATTGACTGATCTTCGTTGTTCATTTGATGTGCTCAAATTCAAATTAAAAGTATTGTTGATTGCCACTTCGTGATCCTTTCACTTCAGGCAATTTCGAATTTTTATTTTTATTTCTTGGCCGAAGTTAGGTGTCCCACAGTGGGAAATCTCGGAAAAATTTCTAGCTGCGGCGCTAAAATAACCACATGAGTGTAATTTTTCACGAAACGTTCCTGAAATAGTCCCAACGTAGTCTTGAAATAGTTGTGAACTATCCTGAACGGGTCTTGAACCAGTACTGAAATGATCCTCAACAAGATCCGCAATGAACTCGAACTAGTCCTTTTCTAGTCTAGTACTGAAATGTTCCTGAAATAGTTCTGAACAGACCTCGAAACGGTCGAAAAAGTTGTGAACTTGTTCCAAAATGATTCTGAAATAGTCCTGAACCAGTCCCAAAATGGCCCTGAACCGGAACTAGGCCGGAAATAGACTCAAATGGTCCAGAATTTGAACAGGCCTCGAAGTGATCTTGAACTAATCCAGAAATGGTACTCAACTAGTTTTGAAGTGGTCCCGAAATGCACTGAACCAGTCTAGAAATATTCATGCGTACACACAAGAAGCAATAATACATTTTCTGTTAGGTTACATAAGAAGCAGTTATAAATTTACTTCTGGGTTAACGCGAATATTACCCATACGTAAAAAAAAATCTCAAATCCAAGGTGTTTTGTGTAAAATTCGGAGAATACTCCCTTGATTGTCCCAACACTTTGTTTTTGGCACCAATGAAAAACCGAGAAGTGGGACTTATGTTACATACATATATAGTTTGTCTCATAACCAAATTACATATGTACATACATACATACATCTGCTTTTGCGTAAGGATATATATTTTGTGTTTTTTCTATCTAGATCTCTACCTCTAACATGCTCGTTCTAATTACATTTATGTTATTCTCTTTTCCTTTATCTTTAGTAACAACCATCAAAATATCGATAACAAAACCGATAAAAATATTGATAACAAATTCGATAAAAAAATATCGATAGCAAAATCGATAACAATATCTATAGCAAAATCGATAAGAAAACCGATAACTAAATCGGTAAGAAAACCGATAGCAAAATCGACATAAATATCGATAATAAAATCGATAAAAGAGAATCGACAAAAACAAAATTGATAAAAATATCGATAACAAATTCGATAAAAATATCGATAGAAAAATCGATAACAATATCAATAAAAAATCGATAACATTCTCGATAAAAAATATCGATAACAAAATCGTTAAAAAATCGATATCGCGGAAAAAATATCGATAAAAATATGGACAAAAATACCGATGACAAAATCGGTAAAAAATATCGATATCAAAATCGATAAAAAAACCGGTAATCCCGAAATAGTTCCTAGATTGAGACTCTGTGTCTCTATCTATATCCTTTTCTCCATAATTACCTTTATTTTAATCTTTCTTCCTCTATCTTCATCTTTACTTTTATCGGTATCCTCATCCTCATCTTTTTCTTTATATTTATCTTTGTTTTTACTTTTATGTTTATCATTTTCTTCATCTACATATTACACTTGACCTTTGCCTTTGTATAAGTAAAGTGTCGTAATTTTTGCATTTACCTTTTTGTTTTTATTTTTACCTTTGCTTTTATCCTTTTCTTTATCTATGTACGTACTCACCTTTACTTTCATTATTGTATTGGTCTTTTCTAAGTGTTATTATTTAACCTTCTTTCAATAAATTTGTATTTAAATTAATATCATTCGCATACATTTAAGAAGCACTTGATTCGGTTCCAATCATTTACGTGTGCAGCTTCCGTTTGCAAGTTCCGTTGCACCATTTCCGTGTGGAATTTCCGTTAAATTTGACTATTTAAAATTTTTGAAAATGTGGTGCGGCAATAATTTATTCGACCACTGTATGTATTATGTATTAATAAGGATTAATCAATCAACTACGTTAAAGTTTTGAAATAAAATTTGATTCCCAGGGATTTTTTATATTATAAAATTATAGTTCTCATATCCGGAAGGCCTCCTCACCTAGTGAAAGGTATAGTGAAAGTTTTGGAAAGGTTCATACCAAGGCATTTCATGGCACGCAATCCTTTCATCAAGTATGATGAAATATTAAAAGAAATTTAGTTGACCGGGAATAGTAGGAGAACCTGGGATAGGTTATATATTTACCACAGATTCCGTAAATATCATAATAATGAATTTTGTTAGTCGAACCAGCCATGAAGGGCTAATTCAGCTCATTTTTTTAAATTAGTTCTAGTACGCGAAAAACATCAAGCTTCTTACTGCGCATTTTCAATTTTGCTATCAAAACGTCTCTATTCGAATGTCCCTTGAATTAATAAAAAAACTGATAAAGTCTTGCATTAGCATAAATATACACTCATGTGTGTGTATAAATGCATTGATTTGCATATACTACATACATATTTATACTTGGATACGCATATCAACTTCCATCAATCAGAATTGCATTTTTTACTTACAAATTTTTTATATCTCTTTTATTGGTAATATTGGTTATATTTCGCTACAAACTCCTTCATAATGTACGAGCACACGCATACAAAACTGTATAAATGCGAGTACGTATGTATGCGTATACATATGTGCAATGGCACTTCATTGGCAACATTTCCTTTTATTATTCCTATTTTACACTTCACCTTGATGTTGCACACTTTGAGTGACAAAATTGTTGCGGTCAAAAACCCAGTTCAAAAGTCCGTTTAACCTTGAGCATCTGCCAGACATTTTTACGTGAATACAACATGCATTTGCATACATAAATACGTGTGTTGAGTATGCGTATAATCTAGTGTTTTAAATGCACTTTTAATGCCCATAAATGCATCCGGCTGCAGGCATTTATATTAAATTTAAATTTTTGCATTTAATCGAAAGTGAAAAATTATTGCACTTTAACGTGTGATAGGCAATTCAAGCGGGCTTCGACCGCTGTAAACCGGATACGTACGACATACTTACATAAATTATGACCAGCGGGTTATTGACATCCAGACAGTTCATTGAACAGTTTTTCTGTGGGTCTTTTGTATGGCAACACTGCGGGTAAAAGGAATGATGCTCAACAAGATTTGAGTTGAACTCCACAGCAAGCTTTTCAGACTCCCAGCGCAATAAATCGGAACGAGCTGGCGGAACTTTGAAGGGATTTACTTACCTTCCAAACTCTGACAAGTACTTCACCTTCACCACATACTCCATGCCGTCTTCTCCGTTGATTTTTCTCAAGTTGAATGTCTAATCTTTTATACAATCAGCAATCATGTTTTTGTTGGCGTAGCTTCTGCTCAATCTGATTTGCTTTCATTTAGTCTTGAAAGTGTTTGCTTTGTGGGGCCTTCCTGACAGGTTCCCATTTGGTAGAGAATGGAAGATGACTCGAGTTTCCGATTAAGGATCCATCACTGTCTCAATCGCTGGGCATAAGATGTACTTAAGGGCTGCAGTGCCTGTTCCGCGAAGTACGCACAAACATACGTATATACATATTTACATATCGTGGCTTTGTAATCTTTATTCTAAAATAGAGCATACGCTGAAATAAGCTATTAGTAAACCTAGACTCTTAGGGAATCATAGTGGTACCTTATGTCGATGATGCAGCCATGGTTGGAGGGCGCTCTAGAGAAAGTGGATTCCTGGGCCATATGGACGAGTAGTTCATTTAAGAGCGAGCAAGGAAAGCCGCTGTGGCCCTCTATGCTGCCAAAATGAAAGCAATATATCTGGATTGAACCCAAAGATCTTAGACTGAAGCTATACGCATATAAGAAGAGCTGGGCAGGCATAGCCGAAACATATCGGATAAACCAAAACATGATTACCTGGTACACCGGTGGCTCATTGACTGAAGAGGGTACCGGGGTAGCTGTAGTTGGACCAAAGTAAAGATACTCGGAACCCATGGGAAAACATATGTCCATTTTCCAGGCTGAAACATACGCCATTGAAAGATGCGCGGATTTTAATATCAAGCGAAACTACCGGAATCAGAACACCGCGATCTTGACTGACATCTAAACTGGTGATGGAGTGCCTTGATAAGCTGAATACTCTTGGTCTGACCAATCAAGTTTAGGTTCTCTGCATTCCGGCACATATTGGTATTAAAGGAAACGCGATTGCCGATAAACTTGCGAAAAAAGGAGCTTAATACCTCGACTGTGGCTTAGTAAAAGGGGCACTCTCTACCCTGACCCGGTTAGCGGAAGAGGCTCAAAGAAATTGCTACTGGGAAATCTACCAGGTCTAGAGCAATCCAAAGCACTTTTAGGAACATATGTATTACCTAAAACGATTTAAGGAATGTATGCGCTTATCCAAGAATAACTTAAGAATTGTTACAGGAATCCTGATAGGACATTGCAGGAGCGATGGAGATTTTGCAGGATAGATATCGAGACTGCATAGCACATCTTAGAAGGTTGTCCTACACTGATGCACAAACGCAAAAGACACCTGGGTGAACATTCAATAACCGAGGTTCCATACAAAAGTTTTTTCTCGGATATTGGACACACTATGAATCCATGAAGGAGCCACAACAAATCTTGATGTCGCAGTGCTTTATTCCCAACAATAAAAATAATACACGGTTATAGTTCGACCCAGACCTTCTTATGGAGACCTGCCTGGTGGCCAACCCTAATTATGGTTATATCCTTAAAAAGCTTGCGGAATTCAAATGTCAGCTGCTTTAGCGCAACATATGCAATGAGGCTAAAGGAGGTTCTGAATGTTCTGCTCGATTTGCGGGCTTTAGGTTATCAGAAAAAATCCATTCGTGTATAATGCTTAGTTTATAGCCTGACTGCGCTGACTGACCGCAGAACTGGACCAATCACAAACTACTTCTTTTTCTTATTCGGAACTACAACCGTTGTCGGTTTGGGTCCAGACCAAAAAACCTTTTCTCTTGTGCGAGTTTGCGCCAGTTGCTCATCCCGAGTGCACCAATTACAAACCCCGAGCAAAATTTCCAAGCGACAGTGACTGGATTTGGAGAGGGACCCTGTGAATGAAAGGCATTGCTGTAATGCGGTAAATCAGGCTCTCTCCTCTTTATCGGTTCGGACATAACTTCATGAGACCCTAAGAGGGAGAGTTGGCCTCAAATTCTGGAAAATTCGAGATTAACCTAGTATGGGCCAAAAGACATTTGAAAATATATGGAAATGAACGTGGGAATGAACAAACGAGGGTCGGCTCTGCGCGAAAGTGTCATACGCGGTCGACATGGTAGCCCGACTAGGTAAAACAAAAGCAGAATTACCGACGTTTTCTACTGTCCTGAAAAGCTGGATATTGTACCGAAAATCTCGAAATAGTCTCGAAAATCTCGAAACAGTTCCGAAAATCTCCATACATAGTCCCGAAAATCGCGAAGTAGTCTCGAAAATTCCGAAGTTGTCCCGAAGATCCTGAAGTAGTCTCGAAAATTCCAAATTGTCTCCGAAAATCCCGAAACAGTCCCGAAAATCGAGAAATGCCCAACGACAAGAAATTTAACTTAATAATAACACTGTGAGACAAATGGTAGGGGTCAGTGATCAGGAAGGGTTCAAACTACCGGGGAAAGTTATATGGGTAAAAAAGAAGTTATACGTGTCCCGGCGGTTCGCTGGGTCACGTCTAGGAATCGAGATATATCAATTTGAAGTTAGTAACTATCATATATTTTGCCCGTACGGGCAAGCGAGCCCATTTCGCGGGCTAGGTCATGGGAAAATCATGGGCAAACGGGACGGGGGCAACAAATCTTACTAATGCACGTATAGCAATGAGAGCCACTGCACACGCATTCTGGAGTAAAAAGGCTCACTCTCCCAAACGTACGCCACATACACTCCTCGTCAT